CGACTAGTAACCATTTGCCTTGACTTAGCTTTTTGGTAAAACTCATCATATTTTTTTTTTCTTTTGGCTCGACAGCCCGACAGGGCACTTGGCCGACCAGCGGTGGCCCATCCCCTCGGCCATGGGAAGGGGATCGTGTGGTTAACACGAACACGTCTCTCCACCGTATATACTGGTCTTCATAACCTTAAGATGGGCATTCTGATCGCCACACAGCAATAGATACTGGGACAATTGTAAGGAAAGCGCACAGTTATAATTTTGCCCCGGCCGGGAGTCAAACCCGGGGTTGCGTGGAAAGCGAGCACGCTAACCAACGACCGATCGAGGGCGCACTCATTCTAATACGTACTGCAAACATTACAAAACTGCGCGTTTATTTATCTTTTGGCCATTTTTGCCTATTGTAGAATAATAAATTATGCTGATGATAATGGTAGATATGAAAAATTAAAATAGACAAACATTACTTACAACTTTAATTGGTGCTGTATTCAACTAGCACGAACTTTCCGCCAATCATGTCTATTCTCTAAAAATCAATCAACTTATAGAAATTGTTATTTAAATACTATTTGTTGAGAATCAGAATAACACGAGCTTGCCGAATAATGGAAAACATTTTACGTCGTTTACAAATATAAAAATGACGTCTCAAATATGCGCAGAAATAGTTTTATAAATACTCGTACAAATCAATATTAAATAATTATATTTTTTAAAATTTCATTTTGGTACACTAAGCTGTGAGATGTTTACGATTTAAATACTTTTCTAATATCTTGATCCTATCCTGCAATCCATGAGGTTGATGAAACGGAATTTGGTGAGGCGAAATGTGACACATTTCTGAAATGTTTATGTGGGTGGTTTCAAATGGAGTTTGTCAGTAAGCACGAGTTATGTAACACATGATATGCAAGGAGAGGTCTATTTTCAAAATTAAAGTAATCGTATTTTAATTAATTACTCAAAAGATAGAAATAATGAACAACTGTCCAACAATACCAAAAACAGCTTATGGTGAAAACATGCAATACATAGGCAAGTACTGATATTTGAGTATGATCATAAGAATCCCTCCCACTCAATAATAGACAACAGGATGTGGAAATGTAGAAAAAATTCTGGTCTTTGAAAGTCATGTTACTGAACAACAACTGTAGCCTAAAAATAAAGACGTTGCCGGGCCTGATGGCATTGCTGGAGATCGTTAAGGCATTAATGTCGTAGCGATCTCGGTCCGAAGGATCGCGGGTTCTATTTGTGTTCGTCCTTTCACCCCCTAACATCAGCATATCATGTCATTTTCACAGTTACCAAACCGTTTAATGCAATAGTGGTCGCTAGTGGCCTAGATGTTGATGTGACCTTAAATAACCAATTAAAAGAGATATATTATGAACACCTGTGTCCTACCAGTGTTGTTATACCGTTCACAGACGCAGTCACTAACGGAAAGAGAGAAAAAAGTGATAAAAATAAGTCTAGAGAAGATGGAAAGGAAAATATTAGGTATAAGTCTAAAGGACGAAGTAATAAATGCTTGACATAAGACAAAACGACGTAGGTCAATTCGTCTTAAAACATTTCAAAGCGTCTTAAAATGTTTCAATATTAAACATTAATATATTTCCAATGTTTTGATTTTTGTGTGAGGTACGGCACTTGAAAATACTGCCAGAAAAATAATATATTTAATTTTGTGTTTTTTTTCAAAAAGGAATTTTCCATCTGATAAACTAACTTATTTTTTAATACAATCTCTTATTTTTCATCTTCAGCTCCATCTTTGACGAAGTACATTGTGCATTTAATGTCCTTCGCTAAGTCCGAAAATTTTGCTTGGGAACACTTTTCACATTGTAACAAAGAAACGTAAAACCCGTTAATACACTGATCAGTTTTATTGAGCGATTTTTAGTGTCAGGTTCAACTTAAGATGAAGGAAACGTATTAACCTAAAACAGGTTATATTTGCAATAAGTATCATTCCATGTATTCGATCTTTGCTGCTGAACTGCAGAGACGTCCGTCTCCGATCATTTCTGCTCGGAGGAGGGGGGGGGGCGCTCGGAAGACGAACTACAAAGGTAGCCAAATTATTCGAATAGAGTTATTGAATAAGACAAAATGGATTTGCGACTGTAGATATTGACAATCTCTGTGTACAGGGTTCTAATGTTCATCATTAACAAACTTGTTCTGAAGTATGTTGAAAATCAATTTTAATTCATTATTCCAATTTGAGTGTCATTTTCCGAGATACGAATGACCTGTTTTTTTATTGCCTTCTTTTCTTAAGTTTCTTTTAACTATCGATCCAACATTTCCGACGGGAGTTATGTCACGGCTATTTCAAACCCATTGGAAACCAAACTGATCAATGTCTTGATAATGTTTTCCAACTTCATTTCCTGTTGTGATATGGAATGTAGTCATTGTTTTTTCCAAACTACTTATTTATTTGAGGGAACAATTGGTCTTTTAGGGCCTCTGTACCAAGTATTGGTCATAAGCATGCATCATTGTACCATTAACTATGTATATATTTCCAGTTACTTTTCCTAGGTGCTCCTCAGAACCCCATATAATCCGTTAAGCCAGAGAAAAAATATTTAGTCTAACAAATTGACCACATCTGCCGGCGCGGGAGGCAGCCAATGAGGCGCGGATAACGGTCAAGTTGACCTCTGTTGGCTGGAGTGGTTTTCGATGACCGACTCATGCTGGTACGATTCTTACTCTGGTCGCGTGACTGATTCAGATGCCGCGGCACTTTTATGCAGGATGATTTATTACACGGCCACAAACTGTACACTCTGTTCTTAATATTGTATTGATAAAAAATTCAAATGCATTTTCATGACAAACACTTCAGTATCAACTACAGTTTCGTAGTATTTTTTTGGTAATTAATTAAAGCAAGCAACGTCGCCATATCCTGCTGTAAACGTTACATTGTTTACTAAACTGAAGACAAAAATATCGTGATAGGCACGACAAACGGCTACGATTTAAATTCTGTAGATTGGAGTGAGGCAAACGACGGCTCTATATCTACACCGCCCGAGCCCTTGCCTGTTGGTGCAGACGCGACATGCAGCGGTGCTCGGCGGGAAGCCTAGCTTGGCCTAGTCGTACTATACCATTTTCCGCATTCGAAAATTCATTTCAAAATGCGTAGTTGTAACTAGGAGGAAAATGTGAAGTGATCTTCGATTTTTTCGGATGCAGGGTCTGGGAAACTAAAAGTCCCAGGGCAAGTCTGGGATGCTGGGAACTGATGTTCAGGGGCGCGACAGCGATGTTTTCAAATCATGTACGTTTTATAGAACCATCGACGTTTTCAACATCGATACATCAAAGCCGATGTTTTTCTAACATCAATGCTTTGGGCTCTGATGTTTTTTTAATTTGAGTACTTTGATGTTTTTGTTTTATTTGTGAATGAAAAAATACCATAATCACAACTGTGTAGCACAGTAGTTAAAATATGAAATATATCTTATGAGACCACTGTCCGATAACGCTTTTTTATCGTTTGCTTCATCGCAGAGATCAGCCTGATACTCTGGCGGCGACTTTCCTCGTATTTCACACGGCGGTCAATTCATGTTACGTTGGGCCTCCCCTCTTCTTTTTGTTCCTTTCGGCGAACTTAGAGCTGGCCCTTTCAGATAATCCTAGACGTAGTCTTCCAGACAGTCTTGGACAATGTTATTTTTATTTTTATCTTTGTTTTCAGTTAAATTTTAATTATAAATTAATGAACACGGCCATTGCTAAATTAAATTAGTTGCGCCCGAATTTAATGCTAGAGGTCTTTATCCAGCTGTAGAGCATCAATTTTTTAAATGTCTATGTTGAAAAATATCGATGTTTAAAACATCGATAGTGTTTTATTAATGTATTAACAGAGATTTTTAAATTTTGAACATTGATGTTTGATAACGTGGATGTCGCATCACTACTGCTGATGCATCGTTTTGCCGCGATTTGAGGGACTTTTAGCAAACTGTCCGCCTGGAAAACGTATGTATTCTTATTCAGAATAGGTAATTCGTCTGCTCATGTGCACCCTCAGCTACACCTTTCAAGAAAAGACGTACATCTTTAGGATCGGCATGTCGTTCGCAGTGTCGTGTGTTATTCTTACACCCCGCCTTCAATATTAGGTTGTGCGTTTTCTTTTTATATTTGTTGCGTCTTTTTGTAAAACATCTCTAAGCCTTTTGGACCCTGATTTTCATTGTATTTGGAGTAATCCTCCGTTAAGTTTTTGTCTCGTAATCTTGCCGTCAGTCAATGTCTTTTATCTCTTCTGCCATCATTAGTAACCGGGGTTCCAAGACTGTCATCCGTCCAGGAATACGTGGTGCCTCGAGTTGCTTGACTTTCGTGACTTCACAGACCTTAGTTAAGTAATTTGGTTAACGACTCTGACGTTAGTTATGCCGTAGATCCTCATTAGCTGTAGTTCAAGTAAGCAATATCAGTGAAGTGTATTCTCTGCGTCATATTTATTCAGATTATAGGCGAGTGTTATATAACATGATTATTATATGACACTCAGATTTTCCGCGAAAATCTTCATTTTAATAATCTCCTCATTGAACATATGCAGAATTTGAATTGTTATCAAATGACAGGTAAAGAGAAAAAAAACGTCTCCAGTATGCAGAATGATTTTTATTTTCTGAAGAAGAAACATTGTGGGCTCTCCAGTTTAATCGAAGTAACAGGGCATTTTAAAAGGTTACTAACAATTTTTAATATTTCATCTGCAAAATATCTACTAGATCGCAACATTTTAGCAAAGCTTTGGAACCTGCAGCGTCGTGTACATCAGCGTTTCAACCTGAGCTCTCTCTTAAGTACGGTTCTAGAGCCAATCTCTCATTATGCCGCTCTGCGACACTTGGTTCGTCAGTAATATGTGTATCTTTACCTTTGCATTTTTCTAAGACAGCGCTAAACCGTTTTTCACTTGTTCACAGATGTACGTAGACATGGCGCAACACATCCAGGACACCAACTTCATCGCTCTGGGAATCAGCGTGTGCTATGTGAGCGCGCTCTTCATCTACAACGAGTTCCTCAAGGTACTTAGAAGTACTTCAAATTTCTCATAGTCGTGACAATTGATGATCAAGTAACGGGCTATAACCCTTCGGATCATTGGTGGTTAAAGTAACTGACGTAAACCAGGAGTTTGATATGAAGGCTCTCCAGTTAGCTGATACCATCATGTTGGACGCACTCGAAATTCAATTCTCACGGGAGAGGTTTCGAAGAATTTAACCAGCTTCTACCACCTCGCTGAGTTTGAAGAAGAACGGACGAAAGTTCTGAAATTTCGACACCTGTTTTTTCCTCTATTGCGTATTACGCTTCTGGCATTTTCCAACTTCGAAGTATCTTCTTTGAGATCGAACATAGTTTTTTCGATCTCTTGCTTTGCTGTATATTTTTATTTTCCCCGGTGTTCTCTCTTTTCTTTTTACCCATGACAATATTATGTTATTTTTGTCTGTGGTAATGAATTATTTTTGTGCTTCTTATTGTAACGCAGGTACTTTATCCTATGTACCTCAGACATATCAGAAACAACTTATGTATATCATCACATCTTGTTCAGTATGCCAAGTTCATTTCTTTACTGGTAGGAGGAGCCTCTTTTATGTCGTTTCAATTCTCTATGCACTCAGGTTTCTCATTCAAAGAGTACCTGCGAGAAAAAAGTATTACTTCACAAAGCCTCAGCTTTTTACACACAATTTACATTCACATTATGCACTCTCGGCAATCTATCGGTGTGGTCTGGCTGCTATCACACTGGCTACCTAAACCCCACGCAGCTGTGTTCAAACCCGGCCTTTCAAAAGGCAGAAATTCCCGAGAGTTAAAGGTTGTTTTTTTGGCATGCATGTAAAGGAACAATTAAACGTAGATTCTACAACAATTCCTGTTCTAGCCAGATCATACATTTGTTCAGCCAGTGGACGACGCAAATAACGGATAAAATTTAAAACTATATTGTGTTTAATTTAGTGCAATTTAGTCATTTGTTGTTCATTCATTTTTATATTCATTCATCAGTTGAGCTGATTAATTCTTTGATCTCGGTGAATAAGTTTGTAAATCGACTATTTGCTGAAAATGATATGAATTTTGTGATCAATGTTTCGAAATTATAAACATCAGTTAAGGCAAGTCATCTACTTATTCTCGCTAGAAAATTAATTGAAAATATCCTACAATGGCAATATTTGTTTCGTATATCTATATGTGAATAATTGTAAGATATCTCAATTTGTTTAAAGTATATTGTAATTTCAATGAGAGTATCACTTAAAAGTCAGAAACCATACATTGATATTCTACTTTTACTTCAAAATGCCCAATACCTTAGCCTAAGGTGGGGGTTGTCAATGGAGAAATTTCATGAGCCTAGACATTAGTCATCACCATCTCTACCACCAACTGCAAGAATCGTCTTTAACCTTTAAAGTTTTATGCGAACGTCAATGTTTACTCATTTATTTCTATACTTATTAAATGTCAAAAACAATTAAAACCGGTGTGTGTCGCTCTATGTGAAAAGGTGTATTCTGTGCGCATTTTCTTAAATTCTGGTATCACTACCCTATTCCATACACCAATTGAATTCTGAATACTGATTAAAATGAGCGGTTTTTTGCGAGAATTGCAAAGAAAATATTCGCCCCGTGTAATAAAATATATATTCAAGGGCAAATCAGCTTTAGATTTGGGCTCTTATACCTCATCGTGCCCTTCTTGAAGGAATCGACTTACTGCCACGAGACCATGGAGAACGATAATTAGGATAACTGTATTTCCCACTGTACTCTAGAAGACGTGCGAAAGTGAAGTTGCATTCATGTCGCAGTAAGTGTTGTGCGCGTATGCGTTTGTGGCTGAGAGGGGTGGGCGTTGTGTCGCAGCCGCGCGTGGCGCGCCGCTTGTCCTTCCCCCTGCCCGTGGAGCTGGCGGCCGTCGTCACCGGGACGCTGCTCTCCTACTTCCTGGGTCTGAGCGGCAAGATCGCAACGCTGGGCGCCATCCCCACTGGGTGAGTACCCCTGCTGTGTCACACGGCTGCGCCAGCGCGAACGAGGGAGACGCGTTTGGAGCCGCCGCAGAGCTCGCATCTAGTTCTCGCTCGCGTTGTCATCTTTTTTTTAGGTCTTCTTTCCAGCACCCTCCTTTTGCTGCCCATTCCTCTTTCCCGCTTCCTCTCCTCTTTCCCATCCCCTTCTCTTTTCCGACCCCTCCTCTTCCCTGTCCCTTTCTCTTTTCTGACATCCTCCTCTTTTGTGCCCTCTTTTCCCCGCCTTCCTCTTTTTCTGCATCACTCCTCTTTCTAGCCCTCTTCTCTCTCCTGATGCTCCATTCCCAACCCTACCCTGTCTCCCTCCCCCCTTCTCTTCGTATGTATCCCTCTCGTATTACTTTCCTGCCCTTCGCTGCCATCTTTCGCTCAACGCTCTCATTTAACGCTCTTGTTCAACACTCCTGTCGTATATTCCTCTTTACACGCCTACCCGACGCTCCCGTTCTCCTCTCTAGACAATCCTGCCATTCTCTCTCGCTCTTGGCTCCCGTCCTTTGCTTCAGCCTTCCGGTCCTGCCCTTCGCTCCCGCCCTTCTCCTCCACCTTTCCCTTTCAACTTTCGCTTCCACCCTTTGCTCCGTCTCGACGCTCCTGCCTTTCGCTCCGCCTCACGCTCGCGCCGCAAATATATATGCTTCGCGCGCGTAGAGGAGAGCACGAAGCAAGCGCTCGCGCCTTGCCGTATGCCGTTGCTGAGACAAAGACCCGCTGTTGCATTGCAGGCTGCCCGCGCCCACGCCCCCGCCCTTGGAGCTGCTGCCGACGCTGCTCATAGACTCGCTGCTCATCGCCATCATCGCCTTCTCCGTCAACATGTCCATGGCGTCCATCTTCGCGCGCAAGGACCACTACTCCGTGGACGCCAACCAGGAGCTCCTGGCGTCGGTGGGTGGTTGGCGCCGGTCGCATACGACCTCTCTGTAGATATGGTTTTCTGTGCGACCCTTCAACAGCTTAAGTCATTGAGACCATGACTTACGATCTAATGAGCAAATTGTTTCAATAGTGACGACGAGGCGGATGATAGGGAAATGCTGGGATAAAACGAAAAGGAAATGGTAGGACCCCGAGAAATCCTGCCAACATTGCTGTGCGCACCACAAATTCCACAATCCCGACCCTTGTGGAAGGCGTATGTTTTAGCCATTACGACTCGTCTCCTTGCTCTCCGAGCCCTTGTTGCTCTTGCTTGTACGAGCAACTTCGCAAAACTACGATGGAGGCCGTAATTGGAGGGCGAAAACTCTCGCTCGCAAGCCGTCGTCGCCAGAATACCCTAATGCAACAGGGCGGCGCGTGGTGTTGCGGTCAGTTGGCTCGCCCTCCACTTAGGGACCAGGGGCCCACTCTTTAGCGATCTTTGTGGAATTTGTGGTTCTCAAAAGGGGTTCGCGGCAGTGGTACGCGGCCTTCTACCGTTTCGCTTGTTGCTTCATTTCATCATTGCTCCAACAGCATACCTCTTTCATCAGTAACACCCGCCCATCAATTCACCTCATCCAACCCGGCCACCTTGGTTAGGGCCGAAAGGCAATGATGTAAGAATCAGAATATGATAGATAAAGTCGCATTCTGATTGTGGTTAGTTGTGATTGCGGTACTCCAGATAAAGGCTAAGACAACGCTTAGTTAAACACGAGTCTGACGGCGGAGGCGTAAGACTTCAATGTTAATTTCATTTGCCGAGGTTTTTCCGTGGCAGACCGTTTCCTGTCCTGGCAACTCCGACTGCCTTCTAACGCGCAGCATTGACCTGCTGAGCACTTAGTGCTGTGAGATTTTAGCAGCTCGTTCTGCATCGTGCAAAAATTCTAACGTGCAAACGTTGGAGGTCTGCATTTCGTTAGCGTAGTTGAGAGTCGGAAAGTGAAGCTTCGAAGACTGGCAGGTCCTAGGCTAGAGTCTCGAAGGTGGAGGATTTTCGACACCTGCTACATAGCTGGTTCGAACAATACCACTCTCTGCATTAGAATTTTAGAGACAGCTTTCCTCCATCGGAAATTTTGGTGGTTCCCTTCAACAATTCTTGGTAAATTCAGAAACAATGAATGAAACAACGGGCCACGGATTCTTCCGTCTCCATCCTATTCCCACTCTCGGCCACCTGTTGGGCTCATCCCTCATTCCCATATTGCCGATGCCCCATGATGACCAATTCCGATAGAACTGCAGTACGCATCAGGCAAACCCCTAATGGAGCTACAGCGGCGTCAAAAAATTTGTTAAAATAGTATCGAGTGTTAGATGAGTTATGGTCGCAATATCTTTACTATGGGACAATTATGGAGAAAATTAGAAAGTTTCATGCTGACGTCTCGGTCTTTCATCTTCTTCCGGACTAATCCATTAGACAATACAATGGTATAAGACGAATCAAAACAAATGACAAATAGGTTCATTCACTTTACAAACACACAAGTAATGATAAACAATCAACCATTATCAGATCGCCCATATAAAAAATCTCATTATCCTAATCAAATCATGTTACTATGCAACTACGTCATAACCCATTGTCAGTGAGTGTCAACGCGCATGAAATGATGATTTCAATAATTTAATACAGTTACTGATGAATGCGAAATTTATACCGAAACGTGGTTTATACGTTTAAAAAAAATATCAACATCTGACATATTGTCAAGATATTGTTATGACATTATGAAACGAGGTCAAAAAACAGGATTTCATTATAAATAGTTTTTCGTAAACATTTTTTAACCGCGCATGATTTTAAAAAATGTACGTATTTAAAATACAGTGTTCTTAATTTCGTAGTTTTAGGAATGTTCTTCGTTCGCTCATGTTCGTTCGCTCTTGGAAAGAGTTCTTTTAGAAAGTCTACAGAAAATGATGAAATGTTTAAAAGTCTAAAAGTTTGAAAATACAATAGGCTTAGAGGTTGTTAAACGATTATAGAATCCTGTGTATGGTTACCGAAAAACCTGAATACTGACACCAGAATGGAAAGCCATGCGCTGTAATGTCATTCGGGAGAGGGCGAATACATCGAGTAATGATGGCCACGAAATCTAATACTCGCCGTCCTGTGCTGACTACTTTATTAGCGGTTGACTTATGACAAAAAATCCAAACGCAGCTTGTTGGTCATCGCGGACATCGCGGACATCGCGGACGGTGCTGCTAGATGGGCGATAGGCTTGTCGCAGACGGTGCTGATGCTGCCGAAAACGTACCTTGCAGTTCTTTACCACGCGTGTCTGGAGGTGAAAAAGGAAAAGCCTGGAGGTGGATAAGGTGCAAGCCGTGAATGAATTCTGCTTACACTAGGAACATTCATATACTGAAAAAGAGCCAAATAGCAAAATGCAGAAGTTCTTTCAAAAATATGGCTGATGGCCCACAGGGAGCTGCTGGATGAATCCGTCCAATCCATAGGATGTGTGTGGGAACAGAATAGGTAATAAATACTAATCCAGCATCAGGTACAGACAAATCATGTGAAATTTTGTATTTTGATATTTTTCTCACGTAAAAGCGGCGCCACATATGTGGCATTCAGCGAGTACTGAACGTCTGCTCAGGGAATTCAGATTAGCCGAGGTGCTCGGCGAATGTTGACCTCCTCTGATGTGCCACAAAAGATCAGCACGCTGCGTGTAGGGCGAGCACCAAAAGATTGGCGCTCAGCAAGTAACGCGTCTCCATTACACGGGTTTCGACGAGCAGTCGCTCGGTACTCGCCGAATGGCGCATGTGTGGTGTCGTATTGAAGTGAGCATCCACGTGTGCACACGGACTCCAAAGTTAGTGCTTAGATTATAATACACCTTGCTTAATGCTGGGTAAAAACCCGATCGTAGAAAAAGCTGAAGTATCCGGGAGCTGCCTTGGTATTGAACACAATCGTATATTAGAAAAGAAGACATGAATTGCGTAGAATTAAAATAATTTTAATTAAATTGATTTACATTCTCGTCACTCCCATCACGCCGCGATCTACCTCGATACCCTCTGCACCGCTCCCTATTCCCTGGCCAACCTATACCTCCCTCCTCCCCACTGTCACCCCATCAGCTCTACTGCAATGCATTGATGCACGTGACTATTAAGAGTGTGAGTGATTATTTACGTAACTCTTAATGATTAGTTGTTTTAATAACTATTAATGAATAATAGTGAGTCTTATGAATGAAATGTTGATGAACGAGGCGACGATAGAAGCCGAATTCAGCATTTTGAAATCAGTCCGCCAAAGACACTTTCGTGCGAGATGTATATGTTACATTTCAGCCTTCTTGTATGGAAAATAGTACTTCCTTTCGCCGACTTTGCTGCAAAGATCTCGCGGCCATATAAAAACATCAGGGTACTGCAAAGTAAACAAAACACTGGGGTGACATGAATCGACATGGCTGCCGCCTCGTACACAGGCACACAAAAAAAGAAAGGTTGTCAGATCCAAAGAGTTAACATACGCTTCTCAATGTATGTCGACGCGCTGGATCCGAATCTGAAGGTAGAATAGCCCCATCTCCCACCATTTTTTTAAATCGCAAAAAACCATCGTGACATTGTAATTTTTGTTTTCGGGGGTTGTTAGAAGACTTGATACACTTTTCTCTATGTATGGCAACGCGCTCAATCTGAATCTTAATGAATCTTAATACCAGAATTGCGCCACCACCCTCCAATTTCTTTGGTGGTAGTTGGTTTTTTGAGATTTAAAAACAATTGCAGGGATGATGGCGCAATTCTTACTTCAGATTCTGATTCAGCTCGTCGAAATACATAGAGAACCATGTGTCAAGTCACGGTGTCTGACTTTTTTATTGTGTGCCTGTGTAATTATCCTAAGATAAAAATAATATTAGCAACGTGTATTTGGCACTCGATATGTGGGACTGTTATGCGTATGTGGGGCTCAGAGGAAAACGAGGCTGTGACATTTTCCCTTTGTGGAATAATTTAATTTAAAATAATACAAATCTATTAACATTATTATAAAGATCCATTACAATTTATCTCAAAGCAATCGTCTTGGCTATGTTTTTACGCATTTATCTTTTGGCAATTATTGTCTGATTTAAATATATTTGATTTTTAAAGATTAATAGACTAATTTTTATCAGTGTAAGAGGAAACGTAGTATAAGTGACGAACTGTAATTCTAAACTCATGCTGAGCGATTGTGACTACATTAAATGGTGACCAAATTATTATTCGATATGAAAGTTGACGTTAATATGGGCATAGAAAATATATTTTTCTTTTATAAATAAGATATTGTTTTGATGTGCGTATGTATTTGGAATTTTCTGGTGGGATTAATACAACTTTTGCCAGCTAACGGTGTAAGCTTTTCTCAGAGAGCGAAGTAAATCCTAATGAATTCTTCATTCAGACGGTACTGAAATGGCTTTGTGAAATAATTTAATTTTTCTGCTCTGAACCATTTGATTGCTCCCCATTAGATCACCTTTTCCTCGACATCCTTCTTTACTGAATTATAATTACACGTAATATTAATCCTTTTCTATGTACCACATTTATTACAACTGTTAAGTCAGCAGGTGATTATTTTTCTTTCTTTCATTCTACCTAAATAATAGTGCATGCTCTTGTAATCAACAAAAGACTAGTGGAAACACGATCACTAAAACAGTCTTTCCTCTAACAGAAACAACAAACCGTAAAAGCAGTTAAACTTTCAGTCACCAGAAACAGCGTCTGGAATATTTTTTCCCTAATAGTTCTCCGTATCAACTGTGCAAATATACGCTTAACGTATTTTTCCTCGATGTGTCACGTAGCCTCGTTTTCCTCTGCGCCCCACCTCCTATAGAAAGAGTGATTGTTGGCAGTGCGTTGAAGCGTCGTGTGCGTGTGCGTGCGCAGGGCTTCTCCAACGTGCTGGGCTCGTTCTTCACGTGCCTGCCGTTCGCGGCGTCGCTGTCGCGCAGCCTCATCCAGCACGTGGTGGGCGGGCGCACGCAGGTGGCGTCGCTGGTGTCCTGCTCCGCGCTGCTGCTCGTGCTGCTGGTGCTGGGGCCCTACTTCGAGCCGCTGCCGAACGTGAGTGCGTGCTAGAGAGATCACTCACTGAAGGGACCGCTTGGTTCCTACTGGCAACATAACTACGTTCTTATTTACTAGGCTGTCCGGGTGACGCCGCGTCCATGGCGAAGGTGCCGACGTTTCGGTCGCCATTCTGCCTGAGGAAGGTCGCAGAATGGCGACCGAAACGTCGGCACCTTCGCCATGGACGCGGCGTCGCCCGGACAGCTTAGTAAATACTGAAGCCTACGCTCTCACATAACTAAGTTATGTTCAATCGCTTAATCCGTCATTGCGTTCGTTTGCAGTTGGCTGACTTGTAAATGGCTTCGATGGTGTATCTTGTAATGCTAACGACCAATTCGACTTTCATGGGTCCTCGATTCAAGTCCCGATTGAAGCGGATTTTCGACGTTAGATAGAGACCAATGACGAATTCAGCCGGTGTTTAGAGATGCGGGCATTCACGCGGGCCTGATCGATAGCCGTGATTTCTCTGGTCAATAAGGGCGAATACCGGAGTAGTTATTAACGGACCACTGTCCGCGCGCGAACTTTCCGTCCTCATTCCTGCCCTTCCTTATCCTTTACACTACATTACACTACCACACTTCGGGAGCTTAGAGCTTGTCTCCTCACCTCTGAGAGAGATAACCAAAGAGGGTAAAAACCTCGCAAATCGTCGTGTAGTTTGCAAACTGCCCCAAGAACATTCTTAGGATTTTATAATACTGTACTGCGTAAGCGAAGACGGTAATCGTTTCACTCTTTTCGTTGATTCATCTATCCCTGAAATTTGGATCTTCCCCGCGGAGAAAATTTCAAATTTACATTCGTAGAGAACATTTTAAGGAATGGAATGTGAAAGAGTGATTTTTAGAATAAAAATTATCATAATTAACCTGAATTTTTATTTATTTATTTATTTATTTATTTATTTATTTATTTATTTATTTATTTATTTATTTATTTTTTATATTAAAAACAGTTAAAGATGTGTACGACATGCTATGTGGAGAAGGTAATTTGAAGTTACATTTATGAGTACATATTATGATCATGGTCAACCTCAATATGCTTGCAGTGTGACACGTTCGGTAACCCAAAAGGTTTCACGGCATGCTATGAAATAGAAAAGTTGCAGGATGGTACCCTAAAGAACATTTTTGTGATGTTGGGAAACGACATAACAATTTTCAATCCGAAGTATGGAAATAACTCAAATCTTTAGCGACAAAGCCGATTCCATTTGAATGCTTTTATAACAAATTAGTATATGATTACGTTGAAAAACATTTACTCTAGTCACGCCCATAGGCGAGAGCAGAGGGCGGGGGCAAGGGGGTCGCACCCTTTGAAAATTTTGAAAGTCCCTTTTTGTTGTACATTTGGAGAAAAGGTGGTCCAAGCCTTCTAGCAACCCTGTAAATGATGCAACATGAAATCAATTGTATTAATCAATTGTGTCATTAAAAGCCTAATTTCATTCTCATTGAAGTGCTGTATTTATTTACAACCAAAATATGTTAGATTTTAGTTGAAAATGAATGGAAATAGGGGCCCAGCAATGTAGTTCTCCCCTCTTTTTAGGCTGCGCTTTCCTTACTTAAGGTGATATCCGAGGGGAGAAAACAGCAAAATGGAATGTATTTTAACTCGTACACTGACAAGCGTTTGCATTACCACCTACCTAATACGATGTAGGACTATCGTGACCTGTCGATAAGGCATTGATTAAACGAGGTTATGAAAGGTATTCTGGGGTGTCTGATAGAACAATATCGCACGCCCTCTTATTGGCGCACTGTATGGAACTGTGATGAACGAATCCACGTGTCAACGTCGAACCACGTACCCTCAATATGGTATTTATCGAGTGTTCTGTAGGCCAAGACATTAATGGAGATATTTTATCAAGTTTTATATACCAGTCCTTCACAATCCTGGCAGTGTGCCATGGCGCATTGTCGTATTGGAAGAGGCAGTTACCAATAGGGAACACTCTTCATGAGCGGATGAACTTGGCCCACAGAAACGTTCAGATAGTGGATAGCTGTTAGACTGTTGTACCAAAATAATGAATGATTTCTATGAAAACATCGCCCAGGCCATCACATCTCCTCCGACCTGTCCCAAAAGGCAACTCGAGGCCATAGCTTCCTATAATGACCATGTACACACGCTCGATCGCCGACGAAATGAAGTAGGAAACTGGGTTCGCAGGCTTCCGCGGCCGGAGTCAATTAATTTTTGGCTATCCGGGATGAGCCGCGTCTCGGTCAATTGTACTGACGTTTCGGCCATCTTGCTGTGGCCTTCTTCAGAGCTATACTGCCCTTCTCAGCAGTATAGCTCTGAAGAAGACCACAGCAAGAATGCCGAAACGTCAGTACAATTGACCGAGACGTGTTTCATCCCGGATAGCCAAGAATGCATTAACTAGGAAACTGGCTTCATCGGGCCAGGGGTCCTTGTTTCAGTCTTCTACAATCCAATGTCTTTGATGTGATGCCAACTCCATACTGCAATTACTGCCGGTGGTCTGGGGGTGCGAATGGGAGCCGACTTCGCGGCCTCGTCTGCAGCAATGTTCGTTGAACAAGTGTGCTGAGAAAAATTTTGTCTCGCGTATCTCGGTGCGATTTCTCGAACTGCACCTCTGCGGTCTCTCCGAACAATGTGCGACAGCCATTATTACCCTCGGGCATCACTACCCCGTCGTCGATACATGGATGGACGAGTTCTTGTTTCCCATTTTTGCTGCTCAAAACTTTCATGGTGCTCAAAACACCAGCATGAGAGCGCCTACCATGACGAGCCGTTGTAGATACGCTGGTACCAAGGCTCCATACCCGCCTTGATCTCTATCAGGGTGAAATAGATCGGACGCTTTTCTAATTTGTCGCCGCAAAAACTATTGAACCCGTGAAGCTTCTTTACATTGCATACTGCCAGCATCATATCACCAGTGCGTCGCGTCTAACTCACCGTTTTTCAAACATGAAACCTGTTCTAGGGTCGGGGTAGGCATCATCGGCGCAAGGATGAACTAAACAAATTAGAAGAACAAGATATTGTCGAAGGTAGCTTGGGAAGATAATTTATAAAAGCCATAAACTTTGGGATTGATAAAATGAACTAGCGGTGCTACAACAGAACACACTTTCTCTCATTATTTATAATTTTGGCAATTTCCGAAAATTCAACTAAAATGAAACCTGCGCTATTCATTTCAGCGTCCTTTACGCCATTCGAGTACAAAGATTAACAAAAAATGGAGCTATGGTTAAGGAAATTGTGAAAATATTGTAGAGGCTTGATGGAGTGGCGGATGGGTGGACGGACAGATGGATGGACGGGTGGATGGACGGACAGACAGATGGAAGGACTGATGGACAGATATTCAAACAGACAAACGTTTCGCCTTCAATCGATTTTTCGGTATCAAGGATACACAAAATGTTAATTCTGATTACACAACGTTTTCGATTAAGTAATTTACTACATAAAGGAACAAAATGTATACACTTTTCCTTAAATTTCAATTTTATCCATTTTTTTCTTTCGAAAAATCTCCGACTTCCTATGCACGATTAACTTTCTCTTCTACGCAGAAAGACGAAAAATTAAAAAGAGAATAAAATTAAATTGAATGAAAATATGGTAGGGTGTATATATCCATGAAATCACTCTAAAACTGGACGATGAATAATTAATTAATATAACTATCATGGAAAGCTACGCTAAAATAGATCGAATTTAAGGTTTTATTTGTGATTCTACTGTGAAGATGTAGAGTCGCATACGAGAAAAAATGTGCTTACCAAATTTTTACCGGTGTGTAAATTAAAATTTCAGATGCCTTTCTGGGCGAGTTATTCATTACAATGTGTAATTTTTGACACAATATTTGACAACATTACAACTGAAAACGTATCTAAACTTCAATAGACTCGTCAGAATTTTGAGGTGTGTTAGCACGAGTTAAGCACGCTTGTAATATCAATAGATGACCTGATAATAAGCCTTATATCGCAATTATTGAAAATACACGGTCTAGAGAAATAACTATTGGTGCCTTAAAGAGTTTATTTTGCCGAAGAATTGAATTTCTCTGGGATAATACGCGTGAATCGTTCAAGAAACAATGTTTGATATGTTATTATATGAGAATAAACAAGTGATGAACTAGCAGTTTACACGAAAGCTACAACCATGATAAAGTACTCGTTCGACTTATCGCCTTGTATACACGGCACTGATTAATGCACGGAAACAGCCTTGCCACCACCCTCCACAAAATGTTCTCGGCGGAAGCCCAACAGAGCCCAACTACTCATCTGAATAAAACGTACCTCAAAATTGTACTAACTGTTAAAAAATACTTTAATATTATGTTCACCTGTCACCTGAGTAGGGTTTGTCAAGATTTCGGAAAAAAATCTGAAAATTTATTGCAGATAATATATTATATAAAATTATTAATTTATATTCAAATACCATCTAAAGTATCCTGCATTGTCCGGGTATTTATTAATCATAATCATCTATTAGACGGAAACCTCCCAACCCTGATCACCTCTGCCTCACCGTGGCACGTCTTGCCCGTTCCTTTCCCCATCCCGCCATTCTCATCCTACCCCGTACCAAAGAGGAAAGAAGAAACTGAATTTGGTCTCTAGGTCCGTACTACACGCCCCTTTCTCCCTCCTAACCTTGCCCTTCCCCGCTTCACGCTGCTCCACCTCGCTCGCCCTTGGTGCTACCCATTTTTGTAGTGTATATATGATACACAATATTTTTAAAATAATTACATAATTCTAACATAAATAAATATTTAAATCAACCTTTCCAAATAAAGGAAGGTAACAAACGAAAAATCCCCCCCCCCCTCTAGATCCGCCCCTGATGGTCTACATACTCTCTGATGTTACTTCCATCATGAACTCACCTTGCCTCATTTGATATGACCATTA